CAAATGGTAGCCACACACATTCACAGCACACAGAAAGACCATCCCACACCACACTTGTCTGGAGCTTCTGGTTTTATCTGGAAGTGGGTGCTAGGTTCTTTGAATTAAAATGACCCTTAGGAAGATTACAAGACCTGTCCTCCACCTGATGAAAAAGGACACCCAGAACTAGCAGCAGCTCTAAACATCCCATTGTGGAGAAACTCGGTTCAACTAAATGCTGCATTCCTCTATCCAGAATACTACCAAGTAGTAACCATTCCTTCTGGAGCTCGGAGTATTCACATCTATGAAACAAACATATCTACTTCCTACATTTCTGTGCGCAATTCTCTCAAGAGATATTACCTGAATGGACACTGGAGTGTGGATTGGCCCGGACGATACAAGTTTTCAGGTACCACCTTCAACTACAGACGGTCCTACAAGGAGCCTGAGAGCTTAACCTCCACTGGACCAACCAACGAAACACTGATTGTGGAGGTAGAGACCAGCTTTTGGTTCTGGGGCTGGATTTGGTGGCCTGGAGCTTTTGTGAGCTTATTATTGTGCCCCTAATTGCAAGTATATGTAGGAACTGTAGCTACCAGAAACAGGAGCAATCCATCCAATGGTCTCAAGGGGGCAGTAGACTTACTGTTATTGTCTTCCCTTGCTTGGTGTATGAGTGTGTACATGTACTCACCTGTGTTAACTTCTCTGGGTCTTTATCAGGAGACTTTATGGATGATAGCTGCTTTATTTTAATTCATGTTTTATTTTGCTCACAGACTTACAGGTTTTGTTATAATATGGCTGGATGTGTGTGTGTTCTTATGCTTTGTATTCACTCCCTCATTACCCTCTCTTGTCCCTTTTCCCCTCATGCTGTTCTTCATCCATATGGTGCCCTTCTGATTTAAGGTCATGGTTGGATAGAAAAAGGTGATATATAAATAGAGATAGATGATAGATAGATAGATAGATAGATAGATAGATAGATAGATAGATAGATAGGTGATGAATGTTATAGATAGATGATAGAAGATAGTTGATAGATAATTAGATAGATGATTAGATAGATAGATAGATAGATAGATAGATAGATAGATGATAGATAGATAGATAGATAGATAGACAGACAGATAGATAGATAGATAATCAATGATAAATAGATGATAGAAAGGTGGGTATTAGGCAGAAATCACATATGAAGTTGATATTTTGTCTTTCTTTCTATTCCTGTGTCTTGATTCTCCTCTTTCTCATTTTATGTTTATTCTGTCAGTCCATCATCCTTCTACTTTCATGTCATATATGTGTGTGCATGTATTTGTACATCACAGATAGGAGAGAAAACATGAATATTTGTCATCCTGAGATGGACTTATTTGTTTGTATTGTGATCTCTAGTTCTATGCATTTTCCTTTCAATAACATAATTTCACTTTTCTTTTTGGCTGAATAAAGCCCTGTTGAGTGTATGGACCACATTGTATGTGTACCACATAGTGTATACACCACATAGTGTATGTACCACATAGTGTATATACCACATAGTGTCTGTACCACATAGTGTATATACCACATAATGTCTGTACCACATAGTGTATATACCACATAATGTCTGTACCACATAGTGTATGTACCACATAGTGTATGTACCACATAGTGTGTGTACCACATAGTTTATGTACCACATAGTGTATACATCACATAGTGTATGCACCACATAGTGTATGTACCACAGTGTATGCACCACATAGTGTATGTACCACATAGTGTATGCACCACAGTGTATGTACCACATAGTGTGTGTACCACAGTGTATGTAGCACATAGTGTATACATTACATAGTATATGCACCACATAGTATATGTACCACATAGTGTATGCACCACATAGTATATGTACCATATAGTATATGCACCACATAGTGTATGTACCACCTAGTGTATGTAACACATAGTGTCTGCACCACATAGTGTATGTACCACAGAGTGTATGTAACACATAGTATATGTACCACTTGCCCATGGATGGACAGTTAGACTAATTCAACATCTTGGTCATTGTGGATAGTGCTACAATAACCATGTATGTACATGCATCATCTCTGTGGTGTGCTGACTTAGATTCCTTTTTTGTATACATCAAGGAGTACTATATCACACGATATTCTAGCATTAGTTCGGTGAGGAAACTTCACACAGCTTTATACAGTGGCTTTGTCACTTTTCTTCCCAACAGTAGTCTCTCCGGGCTCCACTTTACTCATATCCTTGACAATGTTTCTCAAGCATCACTTTTCTTTCTGATGACAGCCATCGTCTCACTGTGATGATAAACTTAGAGCAACTTTAATCTGCATTCCACTGATGCCTAGGGATGCTGGACACTTTCTGGCATTGGTTGGTCATTTGTATATCTTGTTTTTGGTCACTGTCTGTTCGGTTCATCGGCTCGTATAATGACTGGATGGTCTATGTTTACACAGTTGGGTTCCACGGCTCTGTGTATGTATTAGATATCAATCACTGGACTGGTGTTTGTGAGCAGTGAGTTTCCTGTCACTCATCTCCTAACGATGAGATGGTTTCTTCTGCTGTGCTCTTCTTTTATAAATTGATTTTTTTCTTATAATGTTTTCTGATTAGTTTCCTTCCTTCAACACCTCCCAGATCCCCCCCCCCCATGCAATTCCATATCCTTAGTTTCTTTCTCACTGGAAAAAAAGACATCATAATCATAATCATAGTCATAATCATAATTTGTTTTGTCCTATTCTAGGTTTTGTTTATTTTATCTGCTGTGCTGTTGTTTTTAATATTGTGCAGTTCCATTCACCAGCTTTTGCTATTTCTTGAGCTATGGAAGCCTTTTTGAACTTTTTATCTACAACTCTCTTGTGAACGTAGTCTTTATGTTTTCCTCTGGCGATTTCTGAGCTCCTGATCTTATAATTAAAGCCATTAATCCATTTTGTGTTTTCTTTTAAATGAGATGAGATCTGTGAGCCCAGTTTAATTGCTCTACCATGGATATGCAGTTTTCCTAGCAGGATTGAAGATGCTGTCTTCTTTCCAGTGTATGTTTTGGAAAATTTGTTGAAAGTCAGGATGCTCTATCTGAAAGAGATTAGTTCATTCTTTATTTTGTTTCATTGGTCTCGATATCCATTTTTTACCAATACAAAGCTGGTTTTGTTACTATGTCTCTGGAATATAGGCTTACAGTAGTAATTGTGATGCCCCCAGTGTCGATATTTTTGTATGGGTTGTGTTGGCCATCCAGGATGCTTTATGCTCTCTAGTGAGTTTCAGAGTTATTTCTCATATTTCTGTGGAGAATGTCATTGGAATTTTGACAGGGATTGTACAGCATCTGTGGATTGCTCTTGATAGTGTAGCCTTTCTCACATGGTTATTTCTGCTGAAACATTGGCTCTTTATACATTCTAGTTTACTTTTCAATTTCTTTAAGAAGAGTTTTGAAGTTTTCTGTATTGAGGTCTGTCAGCCACTCAGTTAAGTTTATTCCTCAGAATTCTTTTTAAGGGATTATGAATAGATTTGTTTCCCTGACTTCTTTCTTGGCATGCTCACCATTTGGAGAGAAGCTACTTCTTTGTGTATATTTCTAGAATAATTTCCATTGACTTCTGAGGGTGGATTGATTCTGTCCCTTGGCTGATACATTTTTAGGTATCTGTTAAGTTCCTATGATCTGTGCTATGGTATGAGTTCGAGTTTTCTCTGTTGCTTTTGTTGTTGTCTGTGTGTTCTGTTTGTCAGTTTGTTTTCACACGTGTGCAAAGTGTGGCCCTGATGTCACCCACTACTGCTGTTGCTGGACCGGCCAGTGCCTCTATGCCTGTTTATGCTTTTTTTGTGAATTTGGATTGATCAATGTTTGATGCCCATGTATACATGATTCTTATCTCACCTTGATGGATTGTTTTCTTTATTAATATGTACCAACCTTCTTTATCTCTTCTAATTTGGGCTTAATGTCAATTTATCAAAGAGCATAGCCTTCCCTGATGTTTTTTTCTGCCTCACTTCCACACCTTCACTTTCAGGATGGATGCATCTTTGCCAGTTTCACACAAACAATCCATTCTTACTGTTTAGTTCAACCAGCTGCTCCACATCTTTCAACTGGAGACCTAAAGGTGTTCTGTTGAGACGGATTTATTGAGCTCTGTAATTTTTTTCTTTTCTTAGTATATTCATTTTTTCCATTTCTTTCTCCTTTATTAGTATTAGGGTTTTGGTGGTTTACTATGTGGGACCTTGCTGTGTTTTCCTATGTCTCCTTTTCTCTATCTCTTCCTCATATAAAACTTATTCTTCCCTGAGTGTTTTTAATGGATTCTGCCTTTCTTCCTTGTCCTTGTATAATGTTCCTTTAACTTTCCTCTGCAATGGCTGCCTATGGTCATGCCTTGCTTCAGTTATGCTTGTCTTGAAATGTCTTTAGTTCTCCACAGGTTTCACTCAATTTATTTACTTATTATTTTGTGTGTATTCTTCCTGGTTTTAGAAGATAATTTTGTAGCATGTATCAGACAGACATTAGAAAATAGACACTGTTTTATCTATCATATGATTAGTTTTTAAGATATTATTTTATATACTAGTTATCAGGTAGCCATTGATTTTAATTGTAATTCACTTTATGTTTTCTCTTTCTTCTTCTGCAGCTTTTATTCCAGGGCAGGAACCCTGGTGTGGCCTGGGAATTCTCACTGCCAAGGTCAAGTGATAAGAAGACCCCAGCTGCCCACCATAGCTACACATGGGCCATCGTACGCTCAGAGTGCTCTGTTTCCTGTGGAGGGGGTAAGTCACTTCTTATGCAGCCCCAGAGGAGGTATGTAGGTACCAAATCAATGTAGGTACCAAAAGCCCAGCCTGGCTACACATGGGCCATCATGTGCTCTGAGTGTTCTGCCTCCTATACAGGGGCTAGGTCACTTCTTATGCTGCCCTAGAGGTGGTGTGTGGGTACTGAATGAAATCAGGCCACTGGTGATGAGAAACAGAATCATACATGGAAATATAGTGATAGAGTGTGAGATTTTTAATTCAATCTTATTCATAAAATTAACTGTAAAGTAATTTGTCACCAACTCATAGACTCAACTCCACCAAGAAACTTTATGAATGTTATAAAAACTATCTTGATCATGATAATAAACATCATGGCAGAAAGACATAGTAGATAACAGACTTACTACCTTAGCATAGAAATTTAAGAGTGAGAGATCCAAGAAATTATTTCATTTTTTTTTTATTTTGGGAATTTTCTTTGTAGTTTAATGTATCATCCATCTTTAGAAAAAGTTCCATGAGCTTCTGAAAGTAGGTTTGCTGACTCTTAGGTTGAGTGTTCTGAAGACACATTAAGCCTCTGGCCATGTGCACATGATGAAGAAGGGCCACCATTTAGAAATCACATCCTAGGTCTCAGATTACCAGAGACACCTCTCTTTGTATTGATGCAGATTCACAGTCTGATCCTGTTTTGTGTCTATCATTATGATGAAAGATCACAGCAAAAACTGACTTACAGGAGCAGGGGTTGGTTTTAGCTCACAGTTCTAGGTTCTAGTCCATCACTGTTGGCAGAAGCTTGGAGTATCTATCACATCACACCCACAGTCAAGATCTGAGAGCTTGCCTGTGCTCAGCTCAGTCTCTCTACTCATATATGGTTTAGTGCCCTCTGCCTAGAGAATGGTGCTCATCTGCAATGGGCTGAGTCTTCATATTATCTTAACTTAATTCAGACAGCCTCCCAAAGACATTTACACAGGTCAACTCAACATATATGTATAGAATATAGGCCCTTATTGAGACTCTCCAGGCCAGTCAAGTTGGCAATAAGCTAACTGTCATATAATTCTCTCTGTCTCTCTCTGTCTCTCTGTCTCTGTCTCTGTGTCTCTCTGTGTGTCTCTCTGTCTCTCTCTGTCTGTCTCTGTCTCTGTCTCTGTCTCTCTCTCTCTGTCTCTCTCTCTCTCAGCACCTCCAAGGAGCATGCTACGCTCATTGCAGTCAAGATAAAAATCCCACATTATCGTCTATGTGCACTTACTGTGGTCTCATATATAGTATCTTGTAGAAACCACAAAGGGTTCAGAGTAGGACTCTTGCAGCCAGCTCAGATTCCAAGGTGACTTCTGAAAAACATTTGAGACTGCCTTTTCTCTGTACAGCTGAGGATTCTGTGATGATAAACGCCAGGACTCAGTCACCCTCAGCATCTTGGAGATGTTGGTATTGCTGTCTCTCTCTATAGCAACCAAAAGTTTGGGGAATGGCCCAAGACCACCTAGCAGATAACTTAGCTTGAACTCATCTGCTGAGTACCATGTACATGGTCTTCCCACTCCAGCAGACTCCAGATGGATGTACTTTTTTAAAGTTACATTTACTTACATGTGATTTATGTGTGTGTTTGTATGTTCATGTACACATGTCACCATGGTGCACATGAGGAAGTCAGAAGACAACTTGTTGAGGTCAGGTCTCTCTTTCCACCACGTCGGTCAGAAATCAAACTCAGGTCTTTAGGCCTAACAGCAAGTGTCTTTACCCTCTGACGCATCTTACTGGCCATGACTCCACTTTAGAGAGTTATGCCCATCAGTCCACAAGAGACTTGTATCCAGGAAACAAATGTTTTCCTCCACCATCCTCCTTTTTATAATATTTTGTTGACACATGAATGTATACCTCACCTACAGGTGATGCAGCTCATGGCCATTAAGGATTTATTTAGTCTCATCTCCTTAATTTCCCTTGTGGAACCTCTGTTGGAAGGCATAAGCAATGTCCATATTTATTTTCTGTTAATTAATGTGACTTATTTTGAAGTGAGGACTTTTCTTCTCCTACATTTAACCACCAATTCATCCAAAGTGGTCATCTTGATGAAGTAGTTTATTAGAATGTATTCTCTCCACTTCTGAACCTTCAGAGTTTGAGAAGTCAATGGAATCCAATGGCATACATCTTTTTACATATATGAAATATATTTCTATCATATTATCCCCTGATTTGGTCTTTCATTCTAGTTAGTCCCTTTCCTCTTCCCAAGTAGCACCCTCTTCTAATGTCATGTCATTCTTGTGTGACTCAACGAGTTACATCAGAGTTGTTCACAGGACATAAACCCCTTACCAATGGCTACACTACTAAAGAAAAGGCCTCTCCCTCTCATGAAACATTAACTGTGTATAAATCCTCAGGTGAGTATGGGGTTTACAAGTCTTCCTGTCTTCTATGATGAGGTGTTTACAGGCATGATATTGCACAAGTAATCACAGCTGCTGTAACAACCATGCCATGGCTGCAAGTCAGAGAAATCCAGTCGAAAATGATTGATTACTTCTGACACTAAATTGCCACTATTGCACTACTAGGTATTTCCTTCCTGGGTACCCAAGTTTTTGCACATGAGGTCTCTGAGTCAGATTGCTGATAAAAATCCCATCCACCTTATCCTATAGACCATCTTCTAGCACTTTGAGAATTAGCCAACAGGGAGGAAACTTCCAACCCAGTTCTGACTTGGTTTCTCTTGATCTTATTACCAAAAATGTGGTGTGATGACATATGGACTTCAGAATGGAATCCTTGGTTTCCCTAAATCTGTAAAATTATTCAGTACGTTCATGCTGTTGGAGCTTTCTAAATCCCAAAATCCAAGTAGAATGGTTTAAATTATATGCTGCCTGAAAATAACTTATTCACCTGTTATACAATCAATATTAGAACATGAAAATCCAACATCAGTATCATTTTCATATTTCCAGTTCTTGAAGAATGATGAACTGCTCATGAGTCTGATAAGAATATCTCTTGACTGTGTCTTCCTTTCTCAATGGCTTTGCATGGTTCCTTGCCTGGAGAAAAATTTGATTCATATATTCTGTACTTTCAAAATCATGTCTCATACAGACTTTTCAATATGCTGTGTTGCATCATCTTCTTAGCTATCTACAGATATCTAGTTCCCAAATCAGAGAAGACATTTGGAAATGTCTTCACCTCTTGGTTCAATACCTGTCACCTGGCATCAGCAGT